ATAACAACAATTAAAATGCTTAAAATTGTTGTTTACTTTTAAATTGCTAAATGACATGGGGATTTTCTGGATTTGTTGTTTGTTATATCCGGCCCCATTTAAATTGCCTAAATAGTTAGTTTTATTATGCTTCACCTCTTGCCATGTTTAACAACATTTAATATTGTTGTGTACATAACCGAGAGTGAACCAAATACTTGAATGTGGTGTTTCGTCAATATGCAACTCGTTGCAAATTGAGCTCCACTTAACTTGTAGTATTGTTTGTTGCACTTTGCCATGCCATGCCTCATTAAACCGGACATGCACCATACTTGATTGTGCATCATGCCATGATTATGCTTGTGTGTTTACCATGTTGTTTGCTTCTTTCCGGGTTGCTTCTCTCGTAGCTTCGGTTTCGTTCTTGAGTTGTGAGGATTCGTTCGACCACGTCCGCTTGTCTTCTTCACGGGCTCGTTCTTCTTCCTAGCGGGATTTCAGGCAAGATGACCTTACCCTGGATCTCACTACTATCATTGCTATGCTAGTTGCTTCGTTCTATCGCTTTGCTGCGCTACCTATCATTTGCTCTTCAAGCCTCCCAAATTGCCATGTCAGCCTCTAACCTTTTCACCCTTCCTAGCAAACCGTTGCTTGGCTATGTTACCGCTTTGCTCAGCCCCTCTTATAGCGTTGTTAGTTGCAGGTGAAGTTGAAGATTGCTCCATGGTGGACAGGATTATGTTGGGATATCATAATATCTCTTATTTAATTAATGTGTCTATATACTTGGTAAAGGGTGGAAGACTCGGCCTTATGCCTGGTGTTTTGTTCCACTCTTGCCGCCCTAGCCCTTTTTCCCTTGGGTTTTCGGAACCCGAGGGTCATCTTTATTTTAGCCCCCTCGGGCCAATGCTTGTCTAAGTGTTGGTCCAAACCGAGCGATGTCCGGCGCCCCCTGGCAACCAGGGTCTATGCCAACCCGTCGTCTTGCTCATCTGGTGTGCCCTGAGAATGAGATATGTGCAGCTCCTATTGGGATTTGTCGGCACATCGGGCGGCTTTGCTGGTCTTGTTTTACCATTGTCGAAATGTCTTGTAAACCGGAATTTCGAGTCTGGTCGGGTCTTCCTGGGAGAAGGTATATCCTTCGTTGATCGTGAGAGCTTATCATGGGCTAAGTTAGGACACCCCTGCAGGGTTTAAACTTTCGAAAGCCATGCCCGCGGTTATGGGCAGATGGGAATTTGTTAATGTCCGGTTGTAGATAACTTGACACCAGATCCGAATTAAAACGCATCAACCGTGTGTGTAGCCGTGATGGTCTCTTTTCGGCGGAGTCCGGGAAGTGAACACGGTTTTGGGTTATGTTTGACGTAAGTAGGAGTTCAGGATCACTTCTTGATCATTGCTAGCTTCACGATCATTCCATTTGCTCTCTTCTCGCTCTTATTTGTGTATGTTAGCCACCATATATGCTTAGTCGCTGCAGCAACCTCACCGCTTTACCCCTTCCTTACCCCTTTAAGCTTTGCTAGTCTTGATACCCATGGTAATGGGATTGCTGAGTCCTCGTGGCTCACAGATTACTACAACAACAGTTGCAGGTACAGGTTTATGCGATGATCATGACGCGAGAGCGATGCTTGCTTGTTTGGAGTTCTTCTTCTGCTTCTTCTTCGATCAGGGGATAGGTTCCAGGTCGGCAGTCTGGGCTAGCAGGGTGGATGTCGTTTGAGTTTTTGTTTGTGTTTCATCCGTAGTCGGATGGTGCTCTTATGTAATATGATGTTGTACTCGTGTGGCATTGTATGCCTCTGGTATGTATCCCCATCTATTATGTAATGTTGATGTAATGATATCCACCTTGCAAAAGCGTTTCAATATGCGGTTCTATCCTTGGTGGGACATTCGAGTCTCTTTAGGATAGTATCGCATATTGGGCGTGACAGGCTGTCCGAGGACCCCTTAATCCAGGACTCCCTCAGTTGGCGGTGCACAAGGTGGTACATAGGATGAACTTATCAGAAATCCACCACAAGCTCAACGGTAATGTATTCACAATCCTTTTCATAGCAATTTCCAATCGTTGTCCATAGTTGAAAAACCATCTTATACATGCACACAACATACTTAGTTACCTACAAGTTTTCATAATAGTTGGTACAGACTTTAATAAATCATAGAATAGACAAGCAAGCAACAGTTGCTTACCAGCCACGCTACTTTTGCCTAACATGAACATATGGTTGCCCAACACGCATATAGTAGTTTCTTTTGCTAGGGTAAATTTCTTGTTCTGACACAATTAGTCGCCTAAAATTTTGACAACAGTTGCTTACAGAGATGTGTTTTACCACCTATCCTAGATTTTCTCATAACAGAGATGCCAGTAGCAGAAATCTTACTGTTTCTACAGTTAGTTGCCTTAAATTTTGACAACAGTTGCTACAAATATATCCATAGCATTAAGAAACAGCCAACAGTTGCTTACGCTCGGCATTGTTTTTGCCTAATCATGACAATATTGTTGCTTACGATCTGAACTACTTGTGCCTACTCATGACAAATTCCAGAGAAGGCTAATATGTTCCTAATCTGTTTGCCTAATTTTTTGCACGGCATAGTTACCAAAGAAGGCTCATATTTGGACAGCATGGTAGGGGAGAACCACCTTCAACAAGAAAAGGGGAAAAACGTACCTCCTTCCTCTCCTAGAGGACAGTAGCTCTTTTTTTTAGTATTACTGCTGCTTCTGGAAGCAGATCTCCAAGCTCTAATGGTTCAGATCCATGGCGATTTTGATCCTCATAGCTTTCCTTGGGGGAAAAGAAGAAGAGAGAGGGGAAGGGGCAGGTGGGAGAGAAGGATGAAGGGATCAGGTCACGCGGGGGAGGCAGCACGTGATTGAGAGAGGGGGAGGTGGGGATAAAACAGCTGGGAGGGACCAGGTTAGCCTCCAGTCGCGGCAACGAACGCGCGGGGACGATTGAACGCCCGCTGGGGCTCTTTCCTTTTTTGTACGGCGGGACAAAAAGTTATCAAATCTGGCCGTTTGCCAGGGATGCCTACCGAGCACTGCTCCCTAGACGCGTCCTTTGAATTCTAGCTTGAATTTGTTCCTGCAAGCATATAAGCTGCGTAGTAGGTACTCTGCCTTGGAAAATAAAGCCATTCCTTGTTGTCCATATGGCCCATGAAACAAGTACTATATTGATGTCCAAGCCAAGAGCATGCAGTGCCGGCTTGCGTGTTTGTTGGACGGCCTGTTTGGTCCGATGGGGAGCACACGGCACGCTGCAAATGGTATGTGTGAGTGAGGTGAAAGTCGCCTCCTTTCCCCTTTATTCGAGCAAGGCGCAAGCATACATACCTTGTTCGCTCTATTACACTAGTAGCTGTATAAAATCCAAAACACAAGCGCAGAAGCCCCACGCAACGGATCACCGAGAAATAGCCCAAGATTAACGATGATGACTCATGCATGCTCTCTGCAGATCCAAGCACGCAAAAGAGAGGCAGACCAGACCAGACCAGAGAGAGACCCACCGGAGGACAGGACCGAGCACGCACTGACCGCATGCACGACCTGCTGCCCTCCAAGCAAATTGGGGAGGGGAGGGGCGGGGCGGGGAGGCGCGCATGCATGGTCGGCGTGGGCGCACACCGTACCGGAACCGCACTGCCGTCGCCGTCCACTCTTTCCCTGCGCCTCCCGTCCGCATCCCCATCAGTACTAGCAGCATGTGCACGCCGACACCTGCTGCGCCGTTGCCCATGTCGACATATCTCAAGTTTTTCCAGCCACCCCGTGCCGATCCATGACGTTTAACCACCGTCGATGTGGCGCGCACGCACGCACGCCACCGAGCCGGGTTCGTTCCCATATCGATCCACCGCTAGATTCTCCCTACCCGAGGGACGGTGCAACGCATTTGCAAGGTCGTTGCCACGCAGTCCAATCCACTTTGTACTGGCGACCGCTGATTAGCCGCGTTGGCGGCAGGTCGGCGACGGACAGGAGTACTTGGCCGATCAGCGCATGCAGAGCGCGAAAACCGCAATCATCACCAATCCACCGCGCTGGAGCTGGCTTTGCTTTTCGGTCATCCGATGTGGTGGCCTAACACCCATCCAAACCAATCACCCGTACATATACTAGCAGCATGCACCAGCATTCTGCCTGCGATCCTAATTGCCACTGGCGCCTCGTGCTCATGTAGCTAGCTCCACTTGGTTCGTTGGCGATTAGATTAGCCACCAGCACCAATCCGCCACGACGCCCTCGTCCATAATCGCACCGGCACATTCAGATCCAGACACACGCATGCAGCAGAGACATGGACGGAGAAAAGTCTCATCTCAACTGATTAATGAGTGCATGGTGGCCGGCTGCCGATGCCTAACCTAACGCGGATATGCTTTGCTTTGCTGCTCCCACCAGCAGACAGCCGGATTAAGCCCAGCGACGGGATACGTACGTACGAACCACTGGATCAATTCAATTGTATACGAGATCAAAATCCAGAAGCGATGCACTCAGCAATTAACAACGGAGGGGGCGATCGAGTCGGCCAACTGGGCGATTAATTAAGACAAGTTGTACTGCTAATCGCTGCTTATCTACTCGATAACAGCCAGGGAGAGAGGGAGAAAAGAAAGAAGATGGTGGCGATTGTTTTATCACTGTTACAGCTGTCTTTTTTGACATTTGGAAAGACCGCCACTTGTGGCGTCCCCCGCCTCCCCTCCCCTCCCTTGTTCTTATCCAGAACAACGTATTGAAAAATCTCGCCACCGACCCACCGACCACCGGTACCTCGCCGCGCGCCCTCACCGACGCGGCGGAGCTTGCTAGGGAGACAGGCGGAACGGTAGGTGGGTCGGCGGACTGGATTGAGTTGGTTGTGCTGAATCTGATGGTTGATCATACGCTGGCTGCTCTCCGGAGACTGGCTGCATGGTCGACTGGTTGTGGATGACCGGAAGCCGCTGCTTCTTCTTGCTGCTTAGCTGCTTCACTCGGCGTCGGAGGTGTCCGGGCTCGGCGCCTGGTTGAGATCCGGGTTCTTGGCGCGCCCGTTCCACGCCGTCCGCTGCTGCTTCACGTGGCGGTGCAGCTCCTCGCCGTGCGGCTCCGCGTGGTGGTGGTGGTGGAGCCTCTGCCGCTCCCGTTGGTGCGTGGGCGCGGCGACCATCGTGGTCATGCCGGTCTGGAGCGCGTCCACGCGGGACCCGACTTCGATGGCCTTCTTCCGGATCGACGCGGCCGACAGCGCGCCGCCGTCGCCCAGCTCGCCCGCCATCTCCCCTCCGGCAGCGCCGGCCTCGGCGGCCTCGGGCGACGACAGCGCGAGCGCGGAGATCTCGTCGGGGAAGTTGAGGCGCGCCGACCTGCCGCGCAGGTAGAAGACGGCCGTGTCGTAGGCGCGCGCGGCGGCGACGGGCGTGGCGTACGACCCCAGCCAGATGCGCGTCCGCTTGTGCGGCTCGCGGATCTCCGCCACCCACTTGCCCCACTTGCGCATGCGCACGCCGCGGTACTGCTTCCGCGGCTGCTGCTGCTGCAGCGGCATCGCCATCGCCATGGGGATGGGCGGCGCCACGGCCACGGTCACGTTGTGCTCCTCCTTGGCCGCCACCGCCGCGGCCGCGGCCGCCAAAGGCGCCATGGCCGCCGCCGCAGCCGCAGCAGCAGCCGCCGACCCCGCGGAGCCCTTGCTGGAAGACGACGAGCGGTACTCGCCCTGCTGCATGAGCGAAGCTGAGCTGCCTACCACCTACCTAAGCTCCTATGCTGGCTAGCCGCCGGCCGCCGCCTCGGCTGCTCTCTCCCTGCCGCGTGCGCAAAGGAGGAGTAGCTTTTGGTTTGCAGGAGCTGGTTTCTCTCTCTTCCCTCCCTCCAGTCCGGGCTATCTATCTATTTGCTGGGCGGTGGTATTTGTATTGGGATTTTGTGGGTGGGGGTATGATTAGAGTTTGGTTGGGATAATCATAAACTAGCTCCGCTCGGGAGGGAGAAGAGAAGAGGACATCGACGGCAGCAGCGGCAGCAGCAGCAGTGTACTCTACTGTGCTGTTTGGAAGGGAGCCTGACCCGATCCGAGCCAGGCCAGCGGCACCCCAAATCGCTAGGCCCACCCAGAGGCCCATGCATATCCGTACGTATATTGGACCAGTAGCCGATACGTGCATACGTACAATTCTCCGAAGCAACATCGGTCGGTTGTACGTATTTGTATCTGTATATACTTCCGGCACAGCTAGCGTCAACTCATGGCTGCTTGATCTGAAGCTGATGGACAAGCTAGCGTGGCGAATTGGTTGCCTCGGAACTGGAATTTGCATTGTATCTGGTGCACAATTCGTTATTTACTCTCACTGTGGAAACAGAAGCGAGCAACATCGTTGTTGTCGCTGGTCCAAGAAAAAACTTGAGAGGTTCTTTCTCGTGGTAAATTACGATAAGATGACCGCAACGTCACATTCGATCAATCCTTCTCTGTTGCTCACCAACCTTCCTGCGCACTTGTCGCAACGCTGTAATTTTGTTGACCTCCGTTGCCGCTCTGGTTTCTTCTTGTCCAAGTTCCATTCACATCTTCGGGTCAACAAGTAATCGCTTTGAGTATACAATAAGGACAAATTATAGAAGAAATATGCATGTCTTACATGACAAATCTGACTAGGCAATGAAAAGATTATCCTTACCCCCGCAAAAGGAAGAAAAAATGGTTGTCCTCACGTTTTTTGCATCATGTGATGCACATGATATGGCATTTTATTCACGTGACATGCAGCAATTCGCTTAGGACAATAACACCATGCAAATTGAATGGCGAGTAGTGGTGATATCCGCCACAGGCAAAATTATGTGGCCTAACCTTAAAAAAATATAAGGCTAGTCATAATGGGGAGTAACTTAGACTAGTAACATACATATGTTACTAGTCCATGTTACCACCTTCAGTGGAAAGTGTCATAGGTGTAGTAATATGCATATCTTCATTTATTGCTTTGTAGACTTATTTTGTATTGGAAACCGCTATGTGATGGTAATATATTATGTTACTCTATTTGTCTCTCTCCTCTTTAATTACATGACACGTCATTTTTTACTTATGTGGCATCTATGTTACTACTTATGTTACTCCCATTATGACTAGCCTAATAGTAGAATTCCCAGTAAGATCAACGACCACACGATACTTCTTTTAATTGAAAAAAAACAGCTAGTGCTTTTGCTGTGAGAGTATCACAGTTTCACTCACATATTTGGTGAACAAGTAACGGACTGATTATTTATATATGTATATATACCAACATCAAAAGAACCACTTAATTTTGACAAGATCAATCCTATTCACCCACAATGACTGAGTCCAATGGTCCATGATTTAAATTACTTTTCATGAAAAAACATGTTTGTTTTGTAGTAATTGCACTATTAATATCCATTCTTTACCTCCTACTCTTCACAATTCACTGTTAATAATGATACGGGCCACGGTCCTTGTTTAATGATTTAGTTGTCCCCTTACTCAAAAGAGAAAAAAAAATGAGTATCTCCCGAGCTCTTTCTTCGTCTCCTACTCTTCATAATTCACACGCTCCCAATCAAGCCCATATCCTTCAATGGACATCGATGCTAG